AAATGTAAATAAAAAAACAAAATGCAATGATGTGCAAATCATTTAAACCCTATATTTCATTGAAAATGCTTCAAAGACAACATATTAAATGTTGAAACTGAGAAAGTATTGTTTTTTGAAAAATATATGCCCATTTTGAATTTGATGTCAACAACACGTTCCAAAACCGGGGGACGGGGGCAACAAAAGGCTGGTAAAGTTGTGTAATGCTTAAAAAACACTTGGTGGTTAATTGGCAACAGATCAATAAAACAAGTCTTTCAGAAGTAAAGATGATGAGGCATTCACCACACTGTGAAAGACTGTACAGGCAAATAGTGCAAGAATTCAGAACAATGTTTCTCAATGTAAAATAGCAAAGAACAATTGCTTTTAATCATCTACGCTAATTTCATTAAAAGAAATTGGAGAAATCTCTGTATGCAAGGGAGAAGTCCAAAAAACAGTATTTGCTGGCTGTGATCTTTGGGCCCTCAGGCGGCACTGCAGACATAATTCTATAGTGGAAATCACCGCATGGGCTCAGAAACACTTCTGAAAACCACTGTCTATGAAGTGTTTTGTGCTGTGTTTTGTGCTGCATCCACAAATGCAAGTTAAAACTCAAAGACACAAAGACAAAACCATATATAAACAGGATCCAGAAACGCTGCTACCTCCTCTGTTCCCGAGCTCATTTAAAATTGACTGAGGGGAAGTGGAAAAGTGTCCTGTGGTCCGACAAATCAACATTTGAATTTCTTTTTGTAAATCATGGACACTGTGTCCTCCGAGCTAAAGATCACTGAGATTGTTATCAGTGCACAGTTCAAAAGCCAGTATTCATGATGGTATAGGGGTACACTAGTGCACATGGCATGGGTGACGTGCACATCTGTATATATATATGTTTTGGCAACATATGCTGCCATCCAGACGACACCTTTTTGAGGGAAGGCCTTGATTATTTCAGCAAGACAATGACAAACCACATTCTGCATGTATTCCATCAGCATTGCTTCATATTAAAAGAGTCCAAGCACTAAACTGGCCTGCCTGCAGTCCAGATCTGTCACCTCTGAAAACATTTGGTACATGATGAAATGAAAAATACGATAAAGGAGACCCCAAACTGTTGAGCAGCTGAAATCCTATGTTAAGCAAAAATGGGAAAACATTTCACTTTCAAAACTACAGCTGTTGGTCTCCTCAGTTCCCAAACTCTTACAGAGTGTCGTTAAAAGAAGAGGTGATGAAACACAGTGGTAAACATGCCCCCGTCCCAACTTTTTTGAAATGTGTTGTTGGCATCTAAATCAAAATGGGCAAATATTTTTCAAAATACAATAAAATGTCTCAGTTTCAACATTTGATTTGTTGTCTTTGTACTATTTCCAATGAAATATAGGGTTTAAATGATTTGCACATCATTGCATATTGTTTTTATTTACATTTTGCACAGCGTCCTAACTTTTTTGGAAATGGGGTTGTACTGGAATTAATATATCTGATTCAAATCATCAGCTATTCAGCTATTCAGGTCTTCATGAGTTGACTCATCAGCTGTTAAAAGAGGAAAAACAGTAATCTATGCTAGACTGTGGCCCTCCAGGACCTGAATCTGACATTTCTTAAATTATAAATTGGACCTCATGAAGCAGCCAAACTTTAGTGAAAACACAAATCAGGCGTTCTAACAAAGAGGACGTTGTTTATTATTTACACATTTGATATGTTATATGTTCTCCTATGTGTGAAAAGATAAACAAACACAAAAGGCTGTAGACTATGCAAGTAGACCAAATTGGGCAATTTTAAAGACTCAGGGCCATCAGCGTTACAACAGTAGTGTCCCGATCTGTGCTCCCACCGAACTTACTGAGTCAGCAAGTTCTACCGTGAACTTTCACCCCCCAAACACCCTACTATGTCTGACCTCCATCTCCAGAGACCTCAGCCTGGACAGACACCTCCAGTTTCCAAACTCTGTCCCCTCTCTCTTTCCTGTCCCATGTGCAAGTGTACGGCTGGTTTCCCAATGACTGATTGCAGGCCTCCGTACAAGTGCGCCAGGCTATCTGAATGACCTCCTGCCTTGGCCCACTGGCCACTGTCTACAGCTTTCTGTGCGTCAAAACTGTGGTGAAACTGTGCTTTCTTACGTTGTAGCTGGCTTTAACCTAACCATACACAGCTGTTAAATCACAGTTAAAATATACTAATATGTTTAAAACTTTGTGAGTGAGTATTGCCCCCTTGTGGACTATTGTTCAAAACTGACAAGCATAAAGTGACTTCAGGCAAAGCACTGCTGGTGAAAAGTTTGGAATTACTTGTCATATTAATAACTGTTACTCAATAAAAATAAAAGAAGCGTAGATTATAAACTAGATAGTGAAACGTGAATTACAATTATGAATGTTTTCAAAACAAAACATTTATGACGTAGAAAAAGCAGTAAATGTTATTAAATAATAAACTGATTATTTATAATCATTTCTTGATCTAAAATAGCTATGAATAGCTATTAGATCAGCAACATTTGGTCACTATTTTTAAATATGAGGTATTCTGGATGTTCATTCTCAATTCTATACAGCTTTCCTATAGAAAACTATAGAATATTAGCATCATATTATTATCATTCTATACATTTGTCTGTAGCGAAATGTTTTATACACCAACCAGCCACTTCATTAACTACATCTACATGTAGCTACACTCGTTGTCTATTTTATCAGCTCTTTTGTCATTCTTCAGTTACAGACTGTAGTCTATCTGAACTACACAGCACTATCATTTTTTGTTAGTTTGCCAATTCCTTGTTTCGTTCAGTGAATTATTGGAAAAAAAAAGGCCTTTATATGAAGCCCACCTTTTTCGAAGGGACATATTTTTTGCAATCATACTACGCTCTGCAGAATCGAGACCTCAGTCTGTTTGCACAGACCTGGATTCTGCCATGTCAGTGTTGCTGCTGGTTTAAAAATGATCTGCTATCCAAATAATATCTGGTCAGCAGGGGTTCTGTGTTCAGAAATGATGAATGAATTGAGAGGGTGGCTGACAAACTGTACATGAGAAGTGGTGGACTACACTACACAAGGGATATATTTATAATGCTGTGAAAAATTATTTGGCCCCTTCCGAAGTTTTTTTTATTTTTGCTTATTTGTCACACTTGAATGTTTCAGATCATCAAACTACTTTTAATACTACACAAAGATAAGATGATGATGATTTTATTTATTGAAGGAAAAACGCTGTTCAGTCCTACCTGGCACTATGTGAAAAAGTAATTGCCCCCTTAGCCACTAAATCAACCAGTTAAGCAAATTCAATTGACTTTTTGATCGTTCCACTGGCCACACCCAGGCATGATTACTGCCAGACCTGCTGAATCTAAACGTCACTTTAATAGAACCTGTCTGGCAATGTGAAGCAGGCTGGAAGGTCTAAACATGATGCCACATTATAAAGAGATTCAAATACAGATGCGAAACAAAGTCATTGAAATCTACCAGTCTGGAAAGGGTTACAAAGCCATTGCTAAGGCTCTAGGACTCCAGTGAACCACAGTGAGAGCCATTACCCACAAATAGAGAAAACTTTCAACAGTGGTGAACCTTCCTAGGAGTGGCTGGCCTACCAAAATTTCACCAAGAGCGCATCAACGACTCATCCAGGAAGACACAAAAGACGCACAAACCCAGACGAACATTTAAAGAACTTCTTTCACTTGCCTCTGTTAAAGTCAATGTGCACAATTACACAATAAGAAAGACAATAGGCCAAAATGGCATCCATGTTAGAGTTGCAAGGCGCAAACCACTGCTGACCAAAAAGAACACAAAGGCTCGTCTCACATTTGCCAAAAGAAAAAAAAGAAAAAAATCTAGATGACCCTTAAGACTTTGAGATAATATTCTGCAGAACTTTTTGGAAGACATGGGTCCCCATTACATCTGGCATAAAGCTAACACTGCATTCTTCCACTAGAACATCCCACCAACAGTCAAACATGGTGATGGTAGTGTGATGGTCTGGGGCTGCTTTGCTTGCGCAGGACCTGGACGACATGTCATAACTGATGGAACCATGAATTCTGCTCTCTATCAGACAATCCTGAAGGAGTGCAGTTGGGTTACGCAGCAGGACAATGACCCAACGCACAAAAGTTGCATTTTATCGTGTTGTTTTAAATCTTATATTAAAATAAGTTCTTGAAAAGAGTGAGAGTATTTAGCTTCAGTAACACTCAACAAAAGTACAAATCTTATAAAATAATACCTAAGCGCAGTAACAACGTACATTTACTTAAGGATTTTTCACCCCTGCATACAACATAAGACACTGTGAATGATCTGCACTAGTGAAATGCACTAAGGCAAAGCACTAAAAGCACAAGCAAGACTTGACAATCATGCTTTATTCTGGTCGATTTCTTTTAAAAAGGAATCAAATAAACGTATCCTCTTTGAACAGAGATCACACAAGCAATAATCCTTCAAAAACCAGGTTCTCTCTCTTCATGGCTCGGTGTATTTCCATAGGTAATGAAACTAAACTCTCTCTTTACATTTCTCTCTCTTCAGTTAAATAGCATTTATTGGTTTCAATTCAAAAAAACTTCATTGATTGTCAACACAAAATCTAGCTTAGCACCAGTACAATAAAACTGTACTTTTGCTTGTTAAAATACTGTTTGCAGTGAGGGAGAACAGAACATCCGTAGGGTAAAGGGATCATTAATCGTACATTTCAAATAAAGCACCAACCATACAAAGAAATGTTCAATATATCATTTGTTTGATGCACAAAAAGTCAAATATATTAATGACTATTAAATTAAGCACAAACAACAATCAAACGATGAAAATAAAACACACCACGCACCACAAAGCTCGCTGGAATCAGGTACACCAGGAAAATGAGTGACGTAGGAGATGGCTCCATTCTCATGACCTTGAACTGGGCAAGGTGCTGGACAGCATCCAAACAAAAATCTCTCACTCAAGCACTCCACAGGTTTGCTTTTTGCCTGTCTTTTATGAGGACCATCATTATAGGTGACATCAAACAATCTCTTCTTCAGGTTTTGTAAACATGATCATCTCTGGAAAAAAAACAAACTACTGATTCATTGACAACATTTTCTCTGGGGAAAAAACTAAACTTTATAAATAGAAGAGAACAGTCCTTTAGAAAGTAAAAAAAAAAAACCTCTACACAGCACGAAGAAAAAGGTGATGCGGAGATGAGGTGCTCAAAGCAGAGCTGCAGTAGTGAGGTGAGCTGAGGTAAGGTGAGGTAAGGAGGGCAGGGCTGAGGGACATATGCTCTGGGTTAGGGGTCCTCACAGAGAGAATGAGCCTCTCGCAGGTTTACAGAGGAACCATCTGGCCCAGAGGCCTTCCTGCCACAATTAGCTGGGCATAAGCCTCTTAGCTACGCGCAACAGTTCGCCGAGATAAACAAGAAAAAATTGCCTTGCACTGGCACCCCTTCACTATTATTCACACCCCCTCAAGAAAAAACAAACATTAAAACATATCAATGAAAAATTACAACCAAACATGTTCACCCTGATGTCAAGATATACATATATATTTACATATACTTATAGGTTTATATATATATATATATATATATATATATACATATATATGTATGTATATATAAAAAAGTTACTGGATAGTGAAAAACCTACAGATCGGGACCTGAAAGCTGCTTTGCTAGCCTTCTCTAGCCATTCTCTTGGGGGTGACTCCAAACCAAGTTAGTCTCATAGGTCCCTTTCCACTACTGTGAAGGAAGGTGTCTGGGACAAGGGTGTCTTCTGTGAGAAACGGAGCCTTTTTCTGGCGGACACTGAATGTACAAAGTGCTGGTACTGGTAACATGGCATCAGTTGCCAAGGAAAGAGGTCTCCACACCTGTGGACGGCTCCTTACTCATCCCTGGATGTGGCGTAGAGGGAGTGCAGAAAGGGGGAGCTTTTGCTATCGGCCTGAGAGCCTGACTGTTGCATCTGAACTCTCCTCATCCTCCTTTAGAAGCTGTATGGAGGAGCCCAGCAGTCCCTGCAGCTCTGGCACACAACGCACCAGATCCACCGCCTCTTCGTCTTCCTCCTCTTCCTCAGCCGGTCGGAGCTCATCGGGTGCTACGCACGTCTGACTAACCGTCATCTGCCTCCAGAGCTCCGTCCTTGCGATGCTCGCCACCTCAAACTGAGGGTACCTCGCCCGGAATATCCGAGCAGAGACCTTCAGCCGCTTCAACACATCCGTCAGCAAAAACCAGTTGCAAAAACTGTTGAGTAGAGAGAGTTATTGGACTTTTATTATTATCCTTTATTACAATACTGGGTTAAAGTCAGAGACCACCATGTCATTTATTCATTTCTAGTTAAACATTATTCATCTGTCAGCCTCAAGAAACATATATTTAACAAAAAAATTACACAAAATTACTCAAAAACTAAATTTATCACTTTTTAGTATTTAGTAATGTCCATCCTCTGTTTTTATTACAGCTTCCATTCTTTTTGGGAGGCTTGCTTTCAGATACATTTAAAGTTCAGTCTTGGAAGTTGGTTGCATTTTCTGCTTCTCATGGTTCAAGTAATTCTAATAACAAACTCTGATTACACACACATCAGCCTTTTTCTCAGATCTGATGCAAGAGTGGAGTGATTTTCTCCAATCTCTCAAAGATGTTTAAGATCTTTAAGTACTGATTATATGATGGTGACAGTTTCGTTGTTTACCAAGCCTTGCATGCATGTTAGGAGTCCCATTTTCTCTATATCTTTTAATAACCTTTTGAAATTCACATAACGTAACATAGCGACATCTTTGGGAACCTTTTGCTGGGAGGACACAGCTGTAACTCATTTGTTTTGAAAAATAAAATTCAATGCTTTTTAATACCTTTTTCTCTATCTTGCACACACACTCAAATATAGCATGTATTCATGACTATTTTATTCAACAGATTGAATGTATGTGATACATGCTTTGAGACTACTTGATCCTTACACAGTCTTTTCAGTGTGCCTGACTATCAGCTCCGCTGTCCTCTAGCCCTTCATCATCAGTCAGTTTTGACTCTTTCCAACAAAGTCTTTGGGCATCATGTTACAATTTAATTAGGGATGTCCCAATTCGGATTCTTTTTGTCCCCTCCCCAGTCTGATCCAAGTCCTTTAATAATGAGCATCAGCCTATGCCAAGTCCAATCTGCTACAGATAATACACCTCACCTGATGATTTGCTTCATTTTTACTTAATTTTTATATGTGCACAGGAGTATACCCTCTGAACTGACAGCTTTTGTTTTATTAGTCTGAGACTGAATGATGTGGAAAATATCTAAATCTATTTTTTTAAACCAATACTGCAATTGCAGTTCGAACACAATTATTTGCTATAAGCTCTAGGCCTTTTTTTTCCAGCATATCCATTTTTTCAGAGTTGAGGCCTGAATACTGAATGTAGTGTGCCAGACTGCCAGTTCACAAGCTCAATACCCATTTAAAACTGTAAAGACATTGAATAATGTAGGATGTAATTAAAACTGCAGCTCTTATGATTTGAAAACTGCATTTTCAATATTATTTAATTGTTCAGCCCTATACTGGTGTGAAATAACCGTTTTATTGTGCCATGAATTTCACATTGCTCTAATATGACACAGTAGCCACCACTTTCTCTGGGTTTTGAATGTGCTGCTTCTGCATGGCCAGTTTAAACCCGTAAGCGGCATGGTTGGTAAAGCAGAATGTTTCCACTATAGTTTCATTTTTAACTGGTTGTAAAAAACACTGCCGTGGTGTATTATCATATTGTTTTTAAAACAGTCACAAAACAGTTTGTCACATCTTGTTTAGACAAAAAGCGGCGACTATAAACACAGTAGAAACTCTAGAGCTGAAGATATTACAAGTTTTACAAGTTCCCACTTTAAAACAGTTCAACATTGCAGACATTTAAATTGCACTGTTAACTTCTGAAAGCATGGCAATTTGCAGCAGGTTGTAAATTCTGTCCCTTATGATAGTAAAGTAAACAGAGAGCGAACATGAAAGCAAGAAGTGGATCATTATTTTATCTTAGCTGATACCTAATCCATTAAAATGCCGGTAACATACATCCCTAAATGTAATATCTCTGAGAGTAAAAAAAAGACATTTTCAGACATTTCATGACTTTACCTATTTGAATAGGTTACTTATTCACACCTTGAGGAAGGTCTCTGATTTTTGCACAGATCTGAGTGTGCTTTTTCACATTTAGATATTTCCATCCATCCATCCATCATCTAAACCGCTTATCCTTCTGGGTCGCGGTGGGGTGCTGGAGCTTATCCTAGCTGTCACTGGGCGGAAGGCAGGATACACCCTGGACGGGTCGCTAGTCCATCGCAGACATTTAGATATTTCATGACTTAAAATTGTTCAAACCTATTTCAAGACTATATTCAATTTTTTAAGGAGCCATGGGAACTTGAAATTTTGTTAATGCTCATAAAGACAAACTTTTATGTTTTTTTGTGTTTTCATAGAGAATACAGCTGCACAATTGAGGCAGACGCCAAGCTGCCAATTAACACTACACTAACACCTCTTCAGTATGTGCATACTGAATAGAAGAAAACAGAGAAGATAGCCATGTGCACACTTTTTATGTGCCGGTATTTAGACGGATGATAGATAGTCCAAACACAGTAAGGCCAAGCACTGCAAATATTGCTAGCTTTCATTTTCCACCCTAAAGTAGTTTGATAGACTGTAGATATTTAGACCAATTTATTACCTTCTGAAATGTTTCTCACTGCTGCAGGTTTTGAAAAACATACGTTTGTGGTGCCTTTTACGACAGCAGAGTAAACAGCGCAAACACAAAACAAAGGATCAGAATTGGATTTAGCTTATTTAGCCTTTCCCTGATCTATTAAAATATGGCTGACATCTCTAAATGTAATACCTGTAATGGCAAAACATGGCATTTTCAGACATTTTACGACCTTAAAATTTACACGTTTATTTAAGGACTTAAAGGATCCACAGAAACCCCTATTGTGTGTGTATTGTGTTAAGTCGAAATATGCACTGAAAATATACTAAATAACAGAAGTACCTGGATTCTTTTTTTCCCCTCACTGCAAAAATAAATAACATTTATTATTTTGTTCAATGGGTGTTTTGACTGAAAATTAAATAAACAAAAGGCTGGTCTCTGATTTTTGCACAATACTGTATGGATCTTAGACAAGCTGTCACTACTGAATATTTCTGTGCCTTTGATTTTTGTTTTGCAATGCTGAAAAAGGTAATTGTTCAAAACTGGAAACAGAGGCAAACTGACATGAAGAAGCTGGATCTTCACTGTTAATGAGTTATAGTTTTACAACAGAGAAAATTAGAGCTTTAGAGCATTTTCTTAATTATTTAACCTGTCTTAAGATCTATGCAAATGGTCAAAATCGCTGCAGCTTACAGTCATGTACACTAGATCAGATAAACCGTACTGTTTGCAAGGGAAATTTGCTTTGGACACAGACAGTGCCACTACTTTACAAAGAACTATACACATATACAGGTGTACAATACACGTGTGTGTTTGGGTTGCTGTGGTCACTCACCCCTGTGTTAGTGATACTTGAACATGGTAACACGGTAAGAGGGGCTCAGAGGAGAACTCGAACAGAAGGCAGTCCACATCTGAATCCCTGTCCTTCCCTAGCTCTCTACATTCCTCCCCATCTTCCTCTTCAGGCTGAGACAGCAAAAAATCCCAGCAGGCCTCCTGATCCGTCTCTGAGAAAGGATGCGCAAATGCAGATTGAAGGACAGGACAACTCACGCATGAGTGCTGCCCTCTAGTGGACAGTCATTAAAATAACTGCTTAGACCACTGCGGACACTAATTAGGGAAATTCACTCCGGAGATGAAAGACTGTCCTAAATTGGATGTAGCTGTTGTTTAAACTTCATTAATATAAGCTTTAAATAAGAATGATGGTCACTTTTAAAAGTCAACAAACAAACTGGTTTATAAAGTTCTTACCAAACACAGAGCTGCTATAGAAATCCCACTGTAGACTTGGATCCTGATCAGTGCGTCCCTCCAGGTCAGTGAAGTATTCTAAGAGAAAAAACACGTCACTGAATTCAATGAAAATGTAACCAACTTATATTTATTTTCAAGTCTTCTGCTCCATTAAAAGGTTGTACTTACATGCGTCTTCACAATTAATGCAACTATTAAAATAACATTAGTTTTAGAGCTACTAACAGCTAGACTTTGCAGTTCTTCTAACCACTGCTGAAACTGCCTTTGAAAGTGGTTACAGTTGGCACTTTTTCAAATTTGTACAGATGCTACATAGGTACCTGTCAAAATTTCAGAGTGCTGAGCAAACCCATGATGTTCAACTTTAAAGCAGGCAAGTTTCACTTTTGAAAATTCTGAAGAAAATGTATTCAGCAACTGCACTTATCTCAGGCTTTAAATTTATGTAAATGATTATGATTTAAATAAAATTACAGTATGCTTGCTTTTTATGTTTTACTCAAGTATCTACTGTGATGTCCAAAATAGAAAATGAACTGGGATTTAAATGGCATGTGAATTTTACCTTTAAGGAAGGTTTTCATGCTGGGGCTTTGCGCCAGTTTAACAGCTGTCTGGCCAGAGTAGGTGGCCAATGTCGGATCTGCCCCATGGTTCAACAGCATCCACACTGCCGCCAGGTTATCAGCTGCCACTGCATCATGAATAGGGCTGCGGGGATGCAACATTAACAGCTTAACACTTAGTTAATATAATATACGCTGAATACTAAGAAAGCAGAAACCCAAATCTCTTAAGAACCATTGCCTTTCCAATGATACTCTGATTATAGTTGACTGGTAAGAGCACTTTTATTATGTCTATAGCTGGCTATACTTTTAACTGCTCTCGCTCTCTGGTAAATGACAGCAGCTTACCGCGTTCCATCCTGGGCGCTGCAGTTGACATCCGCCCCATGCTTCAGTAGTACCTGCACAATGTGCGTCCAGCCACGAGCGCATGCCTCATGCAGCGCCGTGTAGCCGGCATTGTCCCGACGGTTCACCTCCCTTACATCCTTCTCCAGGCAATACAACACCACTTCCTTTTGAAAAGAAAATCAGAGAAAAAACATTTAAAATCTTGTGTAATAAGCCCAAAACACATTACACTGTATACAGTGATCAGACACTACAATTTCTTGCCTTCTAGCAAAATATCTAATCCATTCCAACCCATTTATAAAGCCTACAGACAGCTGATGTATTTTTTGCTCTTTAACCATATCTTAGCCTGGGAAATACAAAAAATATACTATACCTGGTATCCCAGTCTAGCAGCTCTTTGTAACAGTGTCTCCCCAGCATTTTTGTTCACAATCAATCGCCGGACCTCTGGGGGTACTGGACGGCTCGGGGTGGAATCAAGAGTCCCACCCCTTCCAGGCCCCTTCTTTTTAGGCACAGGAGATGAGGAGCCCTTGGGTCCAGCAAAAGGAGCAGACTTCTTGATGACAGGGCTATCCTCATCTGCGGAAAGGGAAGAAGAGCGCTTCCCAAGTAGCCCTCTTTTGGTCTTAAGCTAAAAAGAATAAATGAGAAATTCATTAAGAAGGACATGACATTGAAAGGACAGCAGCTGCCTTGTGCACTGCACTGGGAGAAGCCCAGCTGCCATATGCGAAAGGGAAACTAATGGCTTTGTACGAATTCCATCTGCCAGTAGGGGGCACCATAAGACCAGCTATTAAGATTAAAAATATGTCACAAGAAGCCACGGTCATTAATCAAGTTCGTTTATCACAATAAAAGTGACCCTTTATTAAATCTACCTTTTTCTGCTCCTCTGTATCACACAAGTGCTTGCTCTTGAACTTCCTCTTTCCTGGAGGTTTGTCATTTAATTCTGGGGAGGTGGGGCTCTCTTGGCGTCGCATGGTCCCTGAGCGGGTGTACAGGGACCTCCTGGGGCTGAGGTCGGGACCGGGTGTTCCACTTGTCAAAGTGGCACTAAGACGTGGGTAAGCACTTGTCTTCTCATCTGCAACAATTTCGACAAAGACTTCCTTTCGAGTCTAATTCGCTACTTCAATTTCATAACAGGATGAACATCATCATGAATAAGCATACCTTCAATTAAATGAAGCATAGGTTATACTTGCCTAGTTCAAAACCACAATTAATGCAACTAAAGCTTTACTACATCTCCTAAATCTGTTCAAACGTTTTTTCCATTTACCTGTACTCTCGTCTTCTTCAGCACCTAGCCTCTCATCTTTCTCCCCGTCTGCCACCTTGTCCTTCTCTGTGATGTACTCCCCATTCTGGTACTTGCGGTTCCTACAGCGCTTTCTCTTTTTCATTGACGCTGTGTCTCCTCCATCTGCTCCCTTGGCCTTATCTGCACCCCTCTCCTCACACCGGGGATTGAGCCGAGGCCTTCCCCGCGGCCGGCGGAGTGGGGCTGCCGGAGTGTGAATTGGTGGAGGTGGGGAAGATGGGGGATCTGGAGGAGGAGGTGTAGGCGGAGAAGCAAAACTCCAGTCTCTCAGCAAAGCCTCATCTGTGCGCCGACGAGCTCGTCTCAGTCGCGGAGAGGCCTCCTCCTGAGACTCAGACTCTTTGCTAGGTCGTCCAGGGCTGCTGAGAGAGCTAGGGTCCTCATCACCCAGGGTACTGCTGATTGGGCTGCTCTCGCAACCTGGGGCAAAAGGGCAGGGACAGACATTCAATCAAGCTTCACCACGAAGGTACGTGTTGCAAGGCACCGAAATGAATTTCTAAGGCATATGGAAACAAGTTAAAGAATAACATAAAAAAACGAACATTACCGGTTTTGTTTGTGGCAGCACATTCCATTTTAACAGGAATGCTCCTCCCTTTGCGAATCTTGCCCCCTACTTCAGGGGCCAGACATGTGCTATCCTTCAGCGGACTTCTCTCCACAGCAGGTAGCACATTTTTCTTCTGTTAGAACACAAAAACATCCAAACTAAAATGAATGAACCTGAATTTGCTTGACTAAAACTACAATTAATATTAGTAAAACAGCTGTTAATATTTAGTTAGATTAAATATGGCATAACATTTTATAACAAATACAACTCACTTTTTTAGAGGTAGGGCCTTGCATTATTGTGGCACTCTCCTTCTCTTGCTGTTTTTTTATTAGTGTTGCAGTCTTCTTCGGTGTCGCAGGAGACGTCTTATCCTTAGTGGGCTTTCTTGCTTTCTTTTGTTTGGTGACTGGTACTTTTCCTTTGGAAGGGCTATCCTCTTTGGCACCATTTGTTTTCTTCTCTGCTTCTGTTTCTGTTATAGTCTGAGTCTGAAGAATAGATAGAGCTATCCCTTCAAGCTTAGAATGAGCAGAGGGCTCCACCTGTGCTATAAGCTCTTTTCTTGTTATGTCCTCCTCAAGGTCTCGGGCCAGTTTATTCTCTTTCCTGCCAGCTTTAATAATACTGGAAGCACATTTTTTCTTGGGGGTGCTGAGCTTTGACCTCTGGCCACCATCGCCTGTCAAATTTTCAAACTGCTTTGTCTGTTTGTCATGTTTCTTTTCTTTGGACACAGTAACAGTTGTGGCCTCCTGGGTGTTAACTAGTAGTGGGACATCTTTAGGTGGGGAGGTTCTGTCTGGTTTGGAGTCCTGCTGTTCTGAGGCTCTGGATGGCATAAAGCTGGTGGCCACAGTCTGCAGTAGTGGAGGGTTCTGACACCTGTTGAGCAAGCTTGCCACTTCAGGCTTCCTGGACCCTACAGCAGACAGATTACAGTAGTTTTCACCAGTCAGTGCAGTGGTCTCAAGAGCTTTCTGCTTCACTATTGACTCTAGGTTGGACAAAGGGGACTTGGTTTTCTCCCATTTTTCTTCCTCCACTTTAGTAGGACTTATTTCAGAGCTATGAAACAGGGGGGTCTCACAATGTATGCTGCCTTTGACTTTAGATGGGCCTTGTGTCTGACTTGGTGGTTTCGGCACTGATGTCTCCTGGGAAAGAACACTAGGCTGTTGCCATGAAGAATTAATAACTGGAGGTGCATACCCTGCTTTTCCACCCAAAGACTTTCTAGGTGATTGTGAGTTTGCTGTAATGTGTAGTGGTGTGGATAAAAGCTCCTGTGGTCCAAGTAAAGAAGTACTAGCAGAATGCTTGATGCCTTTATTTTGCTGGGTTTTAACTGTGCCTGGTGGTGCCTTCTTACCCCTAGAGGCCAACTGCTCTCCTTGATCAATAATGGAAATAGTCTCCTGTTTAGCATATGTCTGAAGATCTTCCACGAAAGCAGCACTTTTTCCATCTTTGCTACGTAGGGTAGATGCTAGTATGGGGCTTGCCACGCCTACATATGTACCTGGTAGACTGTTTAATGAACCTTGAGCGGAGACTTTGCCCCATGATGCACTCGGTTCTACACTGTGGTGATTGCTGAGTTTTGAGGAAGATCTCTGAGCTGCGCCATTTCGTTGGGTGTCTGGTAAAAGTGTGTAGGTTGTGGCAGTACCAAAAGCGGCAGTCTGAGGCCTTTTGGAGGCATGAATGTTCTTCTGATGAGGTTCGATGGAGCGATGCTCAATGGCAGAAGTTGGGCTATTTTGAGCATCTTTGACGCTTTTTTGACGTTTCGATTTAGAAGACAAATCAAGGGGTACATCCCTTGCCTCTGGGGAACAAGAAGCATTGTGCTCCTCAGTAGAGGATGAAGGCTTCGGTTTCAAAAATGCCATGGTCTTTTCAACCCCTCTGTACTGTGGGCATTTTTCTACGAGGCTAAGCAACCTGCTCTGAGTGCTAATGTTGGCTAGTGCTGAGCTACAGCAGATGGCAGCGGTGGGAGAGATGGTGTAACGAGTTGGTGGGGCTGAGCTTTGTGAGGGCTGTTGTACTGGGAGAGCAATAGCTGGGCTAGCAGAAGAAGACACTGTGGATTTGTGCTCTCCTACATTTTTGCAGCCCTTAGTGTTAGCGTTAGAGTCACTTCTGCCTTTAGACGCCGGTGACAGAGGTTTCTTCTCAAGAGCAAGGCCTCTACCCACAGAAAAGTGATAAGGGTAAGTTTTGAGCCTTGGCGTCATACTTGAGCCAGAACTCGCCGTTGGACAGTCCTTTTGAAACTGACTAGCTGTGGCTTCTCTCAGGGCGGCAATCTGGCCCAATCCTGGAGGCAAGGTGATCTTACAAAGAGGGGAAGAAAAGTTAGGAGAGGGCAAGAAAGCAACAGGTTGCCCTGTCTTAAAAAGTGTTGAGCACTGGAATCCTGGGGGAAGGCTGATCACAGGCTGGGTGTGGCCAGGGCTATGAGGAGTTTTCTTATTTGGGTTGATGCCACCATGAACAGAGTTCACCGAGTCCTCTGCACCAACTTTAATACCACAAGGCCAGTGGTGAGTGGGGTAGATGCCAGCACCATCAGCCTTGGCTTTGGGAACCTCTGTCCTATCGGGCAACGGCGTGCTCAAAGGATCAGTGCTGAACACAGGGGCATTGTTGCAAGGTTGGGAGGGAGGGACTTCAGGACAATGGTTTGAATTGCTGGCCTTGCTAGCCTTGCTGGCCTCTGAGCAGACACCAGGCGTTTTGCAGCCTGTGGATGTCCTCAGCTTGTTCTGCTGACTGTGAGGAACGTCTCCTCTGAGTTCAGGAGGCAGTGTCTGCTGTGGATTCCCCACCATGCTCTCAGAGGCCTGGGCAGGGGCACTGCTCTCTCTGCTCACTGTGCCTCCATCCCCCACACTCATTGGCGAGGGATCCACCTGGACAAACAACAAAGTATTGAGGAATAACATAGATATGAGACAAATAAGATAAGCTTATACAATTCTAAATAAAATGATTATTTATATATATTATATATATATATATAAGATGATAAGGTCATCTAATTATACATTTAAATTTTCACCTGCATAGGCGTTTGTTTCAACACAGCATTCCTCAGGGTGTGCTAACAGGTGCGTGTTTACAAAATTTTCTTCTGTATATGGCACAGAGCTTCAAATGAAAAGAAAATTTCAGGTATAAGAAACAACTCTGATTAGATAACAAGACTTTCCAGAAACAAAATCACAATAATTTAAAATCTTATCATTATTAAAATATTCATAGCCATCCATGCAACATCTCTAATAAACACTGACCCTGTTTAAGTGTCCATGTGAGATAATAAAATCCATACTTCACTATAAACTAAAACCTTCTAATCCATACCACTAAGTGTTACATTTTGTTTGATCTGACTTTATTCTAAGCTTGCCAAGAACATGAGGGTAACAAAGATGTGTGACAAGCTCAGCTAAGATATTTTTTGTCCTATTAATGATTACAGTATTCCACCAAGATTTGATTTGATCCAACTCATCAAATCAGTAATTCAATAAAAACGTTTATCAAAAAGTTTACCTACATTATGGTTATTTCCTAACAGTTGTGTTTTTGTTACTGTTTTTGGAATTCCTTGTAATGATATTGTTTTTCAAGTACCTTCCCACTAAGCAAAGAAAACAAGCATCAAACTATTCCCTATTCTGCTCTATTATCTTTACCCCAACTTTAATTGACAGTTCACAAACATTATAAATTCATAAAAAAAAAACACTTCATGGCTTTACAATGTTGTGGGTTCCAGAGGGCCAAGACCATGGATTTTATTTAAACAAACAACACATATGGATTTCATGTAAGAAAACTCATAGAAATTATGACAGAAATTTTGCTAAACTAATTAAGATCTATAACAGATGTTTTAACAAGGTGGTACTGCTTTATGTATTAAACAAATACAACAGAAGCAAAGTGTTCAGCAAAACAGAGCAGAGCAGTTAAAAACAGGTACAGGTTTTGTTTAAGGTATTCACACTAACTCAGGAATACAAAAATCACTATAATGAAAACAATTACTGAGTATGTTAGAGTATTGCATAATATGGTCTTCTCAAAGCAAGCTTACAAACGAAGGCACTGTAAATAGAAGGCAAGGAGTTGCATAAATGCTCATTCTCTAATTTACAATGTAAAATGTCGGGAGTAAGAAACTAGTCAGAAACTTCCTGTAAGAAAGGTTCCTTTCAAAAGATGTCACAATTTCCTTTAAGTTCAGAGTTAAGCAGGAATAAAGATCTCTGTGCTGATGTAATGTAACATCCTGTTTATAAGGAATCCAACAATAATCTTGAAACTTTATCCATAGTCGAGTCAATAATACTATCAGTCAGCAAGATGACGTATCATCATAAGGCAACTATTAATTTCAACAAATATTTCACCTGAACTGTGACTCTACATTTCAACTTTTGAATGTCAGGGAAAAGAATCATCCAAGCACGTTTTTGCAACGGTTCAGATCTAATCTCAGCAGTGCAGCATTTTTGATCAGGACTCAGAGGGAAGGCAAGTGGCTGCATTCCTGGGGTGGATGGACCCCAGTAAGGGTCAATAAGGGTCACTGAGAAACGGAGTGGAGGACATCCTGATTCAAGTTTCCAAGAATGTCCGCCACCTCCTGCAGAGGTGTCACAGTATTACCATGTACTATGGTTTGAAATCTTGGAATTAAAAAAAATGCCTTAATAGAAAACTGAAAAAATATGGGCATTGTCCAGTAATGTGGCAACAGGGACTGACTACCCAGGGTCCGTACTGCATTTTTCCACTAAGCAGTACAGTACAGCACAGTACAGTTACAAATCTGAACCAAAATCATCTGTACCTTGATCAAGTACCTGTGTCCCATCGCATAACAGAACTGTGAAAGTAGGCAGAGTTCTCTTTTGCATTAGGAGTAAACACAAAGTTCTGATTCACCTTTTACTTGCCTATTTTTTTAATGCAAGTCACAGACAACAATTAAGGACAGGAGCTCTAGGTAATGTTTTTTTTTAAATGGCAGTCATCTGACTCTAGCACACAGCATCATGATTCTGTGACAATTGCGTTTGACCAATCAGCAGTGTGCACCAATTCTAGCTCCACCCAAAAGTTCTGATTAGGTGTGCTTAGTACTCCGGCCAGGAGGGTATTCAAATGAAGCACAAGGTACTCAGGTACAGTACAGCTCACTGGACAGCAGAAATCACAAAAAAATTCAACAATCACGGATTTATAACCCTGCTCATACTGCACTGCTCTGTGGAAAAACACCACAAGTTGAGGGAGCCCTTAAAAGCACCTGGACTAAATTTTTCGCTTTGCTGTACAATTTCAAATTTTAGAAGGGTGGGATCACAGACGCTGCATTTGCACAGGGCCCAAAGAAACTCATGGAGGAGTCCAGACTCTATTGCTGTGGCACCACCATAAACTAGACTTCATTTACATGACAGCGGGTCCCTCTTAGACTAATGGGTCATCTGACTCCACGTGATGATTGCATTTGACCAATCAGTGGTCTGCACGATTTCTGGCCCCGCCTATACATTCCAGCTCAGTACACTTGGTACCCCAGCTAGAAGGGTAACCAAATTTAGTTCAGGTTCTCAGGTAAACTACCGCTCACATGGCAGTGGATATGACAACAAATTGTGTGATCATGGACTTATAACCATACCATTCCCCACTGCTCAGTGGAAAAACATCTTAAGTTGCAGGGGGCTTCAAGGAACCTAGACTAAATTTTTTGCTTTGCTGAACAATTTTAAACTTAAGGGGGGACCAAAAGGTTGCTTTTGCACAGGGCCCAAAAATTTGTGGAATGCCAAAAAGAGACATGGAGGAGTCAGGACTCTATTGCTCTGGCACCAACACAAACTAGATTGCATGTGCAAGACAGCGGACCCCTCTTGGTGCTCTCCTTCAGAACAAACACGATCAACAGTGACCTAGCTTTGAACATCACTGCTCAGGCCATGCAGCAGGAATAGTGGGTGCTGCATAGTTGGCTGCTGACTGCAGCCATCTTCTTTGTACACTGCAGTTTACTCCTTTATGCCACTCTGTACTCTCTATTCTTCCATCACATTTTACCTGTTGGTAAACACTAACCTTGTCCACATGACCTACATGCTAGCTTTGGAATTTTCAGAACCTCAACCTTTTTTAGTACAAACATATAGAAAAAACAGATGGTGCACTTTTTCCACAAAGCATAGCACAGTAATACATTTGGTACAAGTGGTCGTCTTTCTTTTTTTGTCACACCCAACACCAACACTTGCATTACTCTTGCTCTGTTAAGGTAAATGTGTCAATACTTCAAGGGGAATTCGACTTTTTTTTTCAAAATTTCTCCATGATTAAATCACTGAGACGTAAAAAGTCAAGCAGAATGGTTTGTTGTGAAATAGTGCACTGTAGAGAAAGTTACTCAGATTTATTTACAATGGTGGTGACAGAAGCAGGAGTCGCAACATCCACAGCACAAATATAGCCATTTTATTTACTATCCAAAACCACGGTAATGCTGATACTGGTAAAAGGTCAAAAAAGCAGTAAATCGCATATTTTTTTTTCTTTGGGTATTACTTTGCCTCAACTCATGTATGTACCTCTCCACCACTGATTTGGAATCTAAAAAAAATAAATGAATAAATAACCTTCTCCTTTCTAACCTAATCTTATCTGAAAACAACATCTCAGACATCGGACCACGTATTTATAACAATTTCATGTAATAATTTTCTTGGAGGCTGCTTTTAGAAGCATTAAACTCTTACGGTATCTCGTTCATATCACTACCACTGTCAACAATTCTGACTCAGTGAGTTTCTCTAGAATGGTTTATTTCATATAAAACCACTCTGATTGACTTTTTATATTTTAAAGGTTTAATTATGCAGATATTTTGAAAAAATAGTGGAATTGTCCTTTAGGCTCCCCGTTTAAGCTTGGGTATGACACAAAAAAGAACAATCACCAGATTTGGTGAAAAATACTAATTACACATTATTTTATGTGCATCGGATCAGAACATATTGTATTGCACATGAATCCACACCTTTGCATTTTGGAAACACTGAGGATTTCAATATATGTGAAATAATCATCAAGTACTCAAAGTACTAGTGCTATGTTATGAGATTAATTTCAAGAAAATATAGTCTTAGAATAATAGAGATGGTGTTTTCACAACATCTCAAAGAGCAGACGTACAACTAAACAAAGACTAAAACCATATGGAAACTCAGCTTCAACAAACAACTGAGAAATACGTTTTTTTGCCAAAAGACAAAGAAGTGGAGTAACAACAACGCAGGTTACAAAATTTGCCAATGAATCGGTTTTCTATAGCGCTCTAGTGTTAGGGCAGGTTTTGAGTAAGGCCCGTTGATAAGATGCTCAGAAGTCAAACGGAGGTAACTGACTGGAAGAAGTTCATCTGACTCTATGTAGTACATATCAAAATAACTGAGGGTGACGTCTTTCAGTACTTAAGTGTTCTTCTATGGCCGGGTGGCTAACTCCAGGTCTGAAGGGCCAGAGTCCAGCACAGTTTGGTGATTTTCCTACACAAACACACCTAAAATCATCAGTTAATTGCCAAGTTCAGTTGGTGCGGTAAGAGCTGGAAAATCACCACACTGAACAGAATCCTCTACTTCGAAGTGGCCAATTTTTCATTCCGAACAAAAGCGAATCGAGACTGCAGAAACACAGGAATTAGTTTTTTAACGATGTCTCTGAAAGAATCAAACAAGCGCGTGCAGCAGTCGGACAGACCGAGCGGTCAGCGGAGCTCACAGCTCTCTCTCTCCAGGTCAGACGGAGCGGAGCTTCGTCTGGACCGGCAGCGGTGCTTATTTGTAAAGTTCAGGCTCCGCCGTGAGCCCACACGAGCTCGTGTCGGTGCCGTTTTTAGCGTTACGGTCAAGCCGTCTCGCCCCCCTCGCCGACACACTTCACGTGAGAGACCCAAAGAGAAGCCAGAAGCACAAGCTCTGCACCGAGTGGACACGGGGCCCCGATCTACCAGGGTGGCTTTATTGTGCTGGTACGGACCTACACGGCGCCGAAAAGCGAGGGCTGAACACGGCAACACCACCCGGTCTCCGCCTATGTAG